AACAAAGCAGTGGAAAGACCATTCTGTTACTCTAGGCAGGAACTGAAGTAGGAGATAACGCTATGCAGGGGTAGAAAACTATTGATTCCAAGCTGTAGTCCGTAGACACTTCAAGATGAATACACTGCCACATAAAAAATGTTTAATATATTAAATGCAATTTTAAAAGGTGAAAACAGTGGTGGATAAAATAGTGAAAAGTGCAGATAGAAGTCATGGTTTCGAAGGCACTGGGGAAAGGGAATTTAAAAAAAATCCAGCAGTGACAAATTTAACAAGAGTTGTGTTGGAGGATAAAACCTTGAGCAGACTTTCTATTCACCTGACATCAGATAAACTTGGGTGTGATGGTGTTTTCTGTGTACAACCTAGTTATTGGGTTTTACAGTTAATATGTTATGCACTAAATTTCGACCTTCTGGTGCAGATTATATTTCTGTTGATGGCAAAATATAAATATGCCATGGGCGACCAATATCAATCAAGATGAATGTCAAACAGAATGATGATAGCCAGGTCTCTCCCGCTTACTGCACCTGCTAAAAAGATGCTGCATATTTGTGTGGCAGCTGATTGAATCACACTGGAACTTGGGAGTGATAATGTGACATTGAAGCAGACTGAGAGCCTGGCTATGACAGGAGAGAATCAAGCTGGGGGCAAGCCAAAAAGACTGACTTCAGAGGTAACCACGGGGACCAATTAAATGGCCCTCATCAATTTTTAATGCACAAGCTGCACCTGTCAGTCCGACACCTCACTGTGGTAGTTGTAAACTGATAACTTAACATTGCCTCAACAGAATAGGTATGCACAAACAGCCTTGATAAATCATTTATGCTCTCAACTTTTTCACATTCAGACACTGACTTTCATTTGACCCTTGACAGCCTTTTTGTCACATTTCACACCTGACTGTGCCAAAACCTCAGATTTGCATTTGCATGTTGAGAGACAAAGACAAAGGCCCTCACATCTTTGAAATATGTATTCAGAAGCTTAACATCATTAAGTCAGCCCAAACCATAATAATCCATTCTCTCCAGGTTTTGCCTTTATGTGTTAATATCAATTTAGCTGTGTTTCCCATCCTCCTTTACGCTGAAGTCTCCACCTTTAGGAGCTCGTTGGTTATAAGGCGCTTCTTTTAATCACAGACCTATGAATGTACAAACACATTTAAATACTGAATTATTGTGGGTAAATGCATTTCAAAAATTTGTTGGGCTACATTTGGTTGGGTTGACTTGCAGTTAGCTCAGATCTGACCCTTGAACTGCTGAGCTGAGAATTTGTGGGATCTTTGGGTTATTTTGCTTCTCCACTGCAGTGGATAATTTACAACCCTGTCTGCTGTAAAGCGTCTTGGGCCAGAGCTGGGATTAGACTGTGACCAGCAACAGAGCCCATGGATCACCATAAATTCCCACTGATTGAATGCAAATTGGAAAAGTACACTATATGTGTCAGTATACATCATGAGAATAAAGCTTGCACAACAAACACGGACACAGCACGTGCATGCCCGTTCTCTAAATATGCAAGCCTTATGTGTATGTGTTTCTATGGGTACATGCAAGTGCTTGCGTGGTTAGCAGGCAAGGAGCAGAAATTTATTGACTACATAGTGGCTAACACATTTGCATTATAAATCTCAATTACATAGCATTATTTGTTTACCAGCCCACTAAGATGGAATTCTTATAAGGTGCCCTGCAGAGAAGGATCATAAATTCTTAATAAACTGCAGTGCAGACCTTTGTGTGGCACTGACCTAAATCCTGCAGCTCATCTCAGCACTACACTCATTTCTTTAAACTTTAATAAGGCTCCATTACACATATTTAACTGGTTTTCAGAAACCCTAAACTAAAGAATGTCCACCTGCATATTTCTGTTGAACACAATATGCACGTACCAAAACATGCATCAGCACTGTCTTGTGGATGAAGACGCGGGTTAAGATGCTCTGCTATCAGTCTAGAACCATCTGCTGATGTGTTTTATATGGGGAGTAAACCCGCATAGGCCCTCCAGGCCAAAGGCACAGAGCGCAAGTAATTAATATGCCTAGGTTAATGAGCAGTCCCAGCATTGCCTTTGCTCCTCTGACTGTCAGTATGTGTGCATCTTGGTACTCACTGTACTACTGCTGCTGGAGTGTAGAGACTATCCCAGCATGCCATGCCTTTGCTCAGAGTGGGCCTGTGGCATCTCCTGCTTTGTTAGAGATATGGCCCTAAATATAAACCGCTCGTGTAAATAAATACATTTTTAAAAAACTGCCACCTGGCAATTATACTGCTAATTAAAAGGCTAACTCTTAATGGATTCATCTCTCAGGAGAGATGTTCCCCTCTTCACACAAATGCACTGCCCACTCTTCCTACCTCTCCTATCTTTCCATCATTCTTCCTCTACCCCACGTCCTAACCCAGCCCTGGCTGATGTGCTACGGGTGAGTGTTGCCTGGTCTGCTAGTGTTTTGGTCTCTGCTGAGAGATAAAGGCTAAGGGGGACAGCTGGATGGGTTCAGAGGCTGGAGGGGTCCTCGCTCTTGGCAAAGACTTCTGTTCCAGCAACCAAAGCTCTTAATTTATTCATACTTTGAGTGCTTCAAACCCCAAAATCCCCAAATTGTGTGTACACATACAAACATACACATAGGCAGAAAAAAAAGATAAAGAAACAAGTCACTACAAATAGTTGAGGATGGAAGAATAAAACAGTTAACAAAATCCAACACATCCATACACATGTGCCTGCAGAGACTCAGGCCAGTCAACAGTCGCGTTTGCATGTAAGCACACATACACATGCGCACACGCACACACGCGCACACACACACACACACACACACACACACACACAGACACACACACTCCCATCTGTTTTCTTTAGGGGATTACAGTGTTTTCATTAAAGTGAATAAGCATCTACAAAAGCGGTAGTGAGGCATAAAAAAAAGTCACTTTCCAGAACGGCTTATTCCCTGTTCAGACGATTCAGATGCAATTAGGTCAGTACAGGTAAGACTATGACTTTGTGATAGATGTAGACCTGTAATATTAGGGATCTGAGGGCACCTTAAATAAAATATCATACGTGCAGGGCTCTTAGAGGCCAGCAGCTCATTATGTCAGACTGTGAGGGAGAGATCTATGCTGAGAGCTGGATGCAGATGTTTCTAGCATATGTTGGCATAATTGAATCCCCGGTTGTGCTGAAAATCGGACAAAGGTAATTGATATACCTCTTACGCCCATTTAAGTGTGAGCTAAATTTATGGAGAAGCCCTCTATAAACTATAGGCTTTTTTGACATATCAGCACATGTAGAATATACTCCTCATCTCATGTGCACCCTAACAACCGGTATAAAAAAAGCTGTGATGTAAAACTACATAATCCATAAATCAATTATTTACCACTGCCTTGTGTAAGAAACCCTGTTTAGAGGCAAATATTTAAATTATGGTGCAAAATAGACTTTATCATGACTGATGCAAAGCACTTAAATCCATGTGATGGCCGTCGAGACCGAAACATTCAATTTGAATGAGCACATTATTTAACAAACGCACTTTAGGTGGTTACACTGTTTCGAAGATATCAGTAGAGATGTTCACAAAACGAGAAGAAGACAAAGACTGATGCCTCCAAACAAACCAGTGTTATTAAAACATGTCAAGTCAGCATGAGCCCTGCAGAGCGACCATGTTCTTGGACAGAAATGGAAGAAACCAGCGGCTGCTTCATCTCAACCATGGAAGCAAGCAGCATCTTAAGCGTAGAGAAGATCATGTCTCATTGCAAACATCACAACTAAACTCTTCCACGATTTAACAACAAAATGTATACATATTTCAGACATGGAGGCTATAAGTCTCTACCATAGAGATGGCACATGAATAAGTTGGGGGATAAATCATGTACAGTGTTTCCCTAAGGAATGGTAGTGTAAGTATTTAAGTGAAATATGAGGCCATGGATAATTGAATGTGTGTTTCCCTATGTCATGGACCATGGTCTCTGGGGAAAAGGATATATGTGGAGGGATGATGGAATAGGGAATTGGGGAGTGGGAGATAGAAGGATTAGAGAAGGGGGGTGTTTGAGAGAAATTGGTAAAGACTGGTAAGGGGTGTCTCATGAATAACACAAATCAAAGCAGTTGTTAACATCAGAAGGACTCTGCTGTGTGAGCCTTTTACTTGAATTTGATCCTTAATGTGCAAATGAGAAAAAATAAAATGAAATAAAAAAAGCATTAGTCCAAAAATAAATTTCAGCTAGTGAAGTTGTTGTTATTTTTGAAAATGTGGATTAAAGGAACAAGGGCACAGAATACTCCAAAAGTAAAGTTTTCTGTTATTTGAGTCTTTAAATCCGGATTACATGCATCGCTGTTAAAGGGACATTTAAAAACAAAAGGAGGGGCTGTCAAGATGTAATCAGTATGAAAGCTTTGCTTTTTTTTAACTCTGCAACTAAAGCACGCAGCAATGTCAGTTCCTTCTGCAACACAGGAGCAGAGAACAAGTTGTGCATTTGGATAATGAAAAAGTTTGCTAAACTCCAGCTCAATTGTGTCAACTTGTGCAATGTAGTCAGAACATCCATGACTTACAAGATAGTACATTTAATTTGTTGATGTAAATTAATGAGCACAACTAAGATGAAATGCATCCCTTATTGAAATATAATGGAGGGAGTAGCCTAAGTGCAAAATGTTCCCCCATCTTACAACACAACAAACACGAAATTAAATTGATACCAAAGCCTTTTTTACTTTTTTAAGAAGCTTCTCTTTTCAAAATGTTTTAGGTCCCCCTCCTACTTGAAACATGTAATTTAAAAGCTCAAGTGAGTACATTCCCTTTATCATTTGTTTTGCTGCACTTGTTGCTGATTAATCAAGCCCTGACAGAGTCACTACAATTCTGATTATATATTGGGGTTTCATCAAACCCTTGGGGACAGGGTTCATTAACAACTTACATTGTCAGCGATGGTGCGGCCCAGCTTGTCCATTCTTGATCCTGCCTCTGCGATTTTTTTGGCAGCACTGATGACATCAGACGTATTCTTCAGTGGCCCTTTTCCTCTGGGGAGAAAAATTGGAAGGATCAGTCAGTTTCTGATCTACTGCAGCCTCATTCAATATGCAGGAGGAGCATCTCAGTCATGGAGCAGTGGTTGGTTTTGGATGGTTGTTTTTCAGTTAACGACAAGTATGGATCTAGTGGCATGACTTATGGGAGTAGTTCAGGGAAACCTCACAAAAATAAATGTATATGCCAACAGACAAATGATGCTACAAATGCAAAACAGTAGGCACCATACTGTTCAGTCAGAGATGAGAACGTTTTACAACCCATTATAAAGCGTGCAGAGAGGCAGCCTTGCCTGTCAGAACTGGAACCAGAATGGGACAATGGAGCTGCACCATCACCCTCTCTCTCCCAACCTCTTACAAAATAGGGAAGTACCCAAAAATGTTCAGCAAAATGAGAGACAATTTCTATTCAGAATGTGCTTTTAAAAAATGGCAGCACAATCATACTTAATAGTTCTCGTGAAAACCCTGATTCAAAGGGCCATCGTATTTTACTGATCACCAGCTTTCACATTACAAAAAAATGATCAATTCAATCTAGTTTGCACCCTTTTATTCAAGCAGCTTTGAAGAGTTTATCAGAAGCAAATGGGACTGGTTTCAGGTCTATTAGTGGAGATAAATTGGCTGCCCCCAGAAACCCTTCACTCTTGCACACACAAACACAGACAGGCAATGTATTTGCATTGTCATTTTCATCCAGGTATGGGACTAAGAAGGAGAACCACAGAAAAGACGAGAGAATTGAAAGTGTAGAGATGAGAATATCATTTAATTTTAAGGCACTATTCATTGTTACAACATAATAGTCATTCTTGACTATTCTAACCCTTCTTAAGCCAATCAAAGCAGGTCCCAACATGGGTCAGTCTAGTCCAGCCCTGACCTGATCCACTGTAAAGCTTGTCAAACATTTTCCATTTTTTTTCTACCCCCACAAGGGACTCTGGGACACAGTTGGCAAGAGGCACAAATTGGATTCAAAGCTGCTCTCTCCAGGCTAAAAAATGAGCCATCCAACCCAGAACAGATGGAATTTTGTGTTCTGTTCTCCCGCTTCCTCTTCCCTCCCCTCCCCTCGCATCTCCAACCCTTCCCCTCCCTTGCTCTGCTATAAAGCAAGTCGGGTCCGAGGCCACGCGTCAGAGCACATACTGGAAGCTCTCTGGGGGCAAGTCAAACCCCGGAGACAGATCTACAGGCACTGTGCAGAGTTCTGGGAAAAAAAGACAGCATAACCCTAACCCTTTTAATTGAGTGTTGCTAGTATAATGCTATACTTTGCCCCAATAAAATAAACCCCATCCCATCATGGTGCTTAAAGACAACAACCACTGATTTCATTCCTGTAACCCCACTTGCTTTAGCCCTAAGAGATAAATGGCTAGATTCCTCACCATGTACAGCTCTGTCTCAGAGGCCATGTGACGACTGGGAAAAGCACAAAGAGAACATGTCAAGAGACGGGAAAACTCTTGACAAGTTCACCCTAGTAAGATTTTCATGGTGAATTCATACATGCAGAAAGGGCTGGGAACTTCAGGTCTGGTGACAGCTGCAGGCCTCCAGATGGGTGTAAACCACATCAGACTGAGCACTCCACAGCACAGAATGCTCCGAGACAGGTGGCCCCAAAATATGTTGCATGCATCCAAGCCACACATGCCTTATTCATGAAAGCTGCCACACAGCCATAAGCGATGCACAAGTCAACGAGAACCTTTCTCTCTCTAAGTGCAGCTTTGTCAAGGGAGAGGTCCAGATCAATTACCTCATACAGCATTAACCTTGGCAGGGCTTTGTGCCAGCTCAAGGTTGAGGGGGCAATAATTTGGGCGCAGGCTGAATTAGCCAGGGACTGACCTTCCATGTGCTACTGCCGCATGCAAGAGGGGGGGCATAATATAAAGATATATATTCAGCCCTCAGACACAGCAGGATATATAGAGTGCAATCCAGAGTCTGAGTGTGCCACATAAAAAGTTCCAGTATTAGCCCATAAATTAGCAAACTCTCCAGAGTAACTGCACTGATAACACAAGCAAAAGAAAATCCTTTCCCGTGGGTTTCTTCTACAAACTCTGTTTCAATTACAAAGAACCATTTTGACCATATTGACATCTCTAAAGTCAAAGACATTAAAGCTTACGGTTGGGTACATCAGTGTAAATATTACAAATAATTGAAATATTATTTTCGAGAAATTAAAAACCTAAGCTAAAAACAAGCTTCCTTCGATTGCTTGACAACTCACACAACTGAGGCCATCTGTTGATAATAATCAACAGCCCTAAGATGGAAGCAGCATCATATACATTTCATTTACATCTGTGTCTATAGAGGTTGTAATATAAAAAAGAGCAATTACTTTTTTATTATTTGGATGAATAGGTAGCAAATTAAAAATTACAGGGTTCTGTGTAACCTCAGTTAAAGCCTGGCTGTGTTGCACTTCTTTGGCCGAGGAGACGGGATCTTTGACCCATACAGAGGATGAAGGCAGAGTGGCAGAATTTCATCATCATTTGAAATGTGACTCAGAGTCGGGCACAAAATGTCCTCTGAGTAATTCACTTGAAATTTTAAAAAGACACAGTCATACAAATACAGTCAGGCGCAAATATATTCAACCAGTTTAAATGTCTCCTCACATCCTCCACATACACATAATACATTTTCGCAGCATGAGCTGCTCACACAGCCGCATAGAAATGCTGTTCAAACCTAATCAATGTGTCAATATTTCCACCCAGCCTCTTTCAAAAGAAGATATCTCAGTTATCCCGGTCATATTTCTAGAATATTATAATCATATTTCTAAGTGCTATACAAAGCATGAACTTGAGGTTCTTGAAGATTCTTTACTTCTCATCTCAAAAACCTGTAACCTGATCACAAGTGGACAGCTCTACGTTCAGATGTGAACGTCACCAAGATGCATTGAGGATGCATTTATGATCCGATCACTCAGACCATATTTGGAGGTTAGGGTAAATCAAAGTTTTTTTTCAAAAGGGTCTCATTGTAAAGCTATGTGAATCAGATTCACTCGGCCACTCGCTCTCACATGGACACACAACAACACACACGCAAACACATCGACAGTGGAATCATCAGTATAAAGTCAGACCAGCTACAAACAACATCGTTTGGTGTGAACAGGGCCCCAGACATTTAATTTACGCAGCACCTGTAGAGTTGTTGGGATCATGATTTGTGTGTTTTATTAAACAGCATCCATGTGTACACTTAAAGCCCAGTAATACCTTGGTCCTGTTCGTAACTGGCATTAACATGAGTCATGGGTGATCAGATCACAAGTGGACAGCTCTAAGTAAGTCAGTTCACAACTGGCATTTAAATCAGAGAGCCGGCTACTCATTGAAGTCCAGGTGGCTACTTTATCACCACATGTCCTCAAATAGTGAAGTAAATATAAGTGGCCATATTTTAATAGGAAGCCTTGTTTGCCCTCCTCTCTCTGCCCGAGGCGGGACTGCAGTGCATTCCCAAAAACACACACACAGAGCGAGCTAGGCGTACAGGTCGTGGTGGCCACAGTGAACCAGGTGAAGTGAAGAAAACCTGAGTTCACAACAGCTACACTTTTTCACTGTGAGTGCAATAAAAAGTAAAAGGTCAATTAAGTACTTTGTATATACCGGTTCAACAAACAAAAACTTTATTTACACCTTTTTTTTCCAATCTCCCTCCATATTTTACACAACCACTTCATGCTGGTTAAGTTAAGTCTAGTACGGTCCAAATTCATCACCACACACACATGCAGGCTGACCTGATACACCCACACAATGCACACACACAGAGTGATCGGACACGTGTAAACTCGGACAGACTGGAGAGCTGGAGGAGCACTCAGTTTGGCTCGATTCGGTTGGCAGTGCTCAGCGTGAATGATAGAGACACTGCCACGGGTTTGGTGGTACTGTGGCTGGGCTGTGTGCACTCTGGCACGGGCAGATGTTAGCTTAGCTACTGTCTGAGACAATCCAGTGACCCCACCTTCTCTATCTGCAGACAGTGAATCACAGCAGCAGCAGGGGAAAGAAGTCAGAGGTCAGACTGATACCAACTGATATCTGTTCTTCCTACTCTCTGAACTTAACTCTAGAATATTGTTTATTTACCGATATTTTACATTTGTTTCCAGTGACACATTGAGTTAATAGAGTCATAACAGACACAAATCATGTTTTATGAATAAAAAAATAATATAAAAGAGCTTCCTGCAGTAAAATATATGATCAACATGTTTCTCCAAATCATATATTTCATCCTTGATTTGTGTGAAACGTCCTATTTTTATTTTCTGATTTACAATTGTCCTAAAATTATCACTTACAATATGATAATATCCACACTACAAAATATCAAAATATACAATGATTAGATCAGTGTATATGATGGAATAATTGCATCGGAATGTACCACAGGAAAACAGATTTGGGCTTTTACAGCAAAAACCTCTAAGAGGCTACTCATTCAATCTCGCTACTCCATAACTCGTGCACTGTGTCTCCCCATGCATCTCTAGTGACAACTTTTGATCAGATCTTGCCTCCCCGCTCTATATGCAAATAAACACGTACATCATTGCTGTTTTCAAAGACCAAATGTGTTGTTGTTTTTAGCCAGTCTGACAGTGACAGACGGGGCCACAGTCAGCGGATGAGAGAGAGAGATGCGAGTGAATCAATGTACACAAATCTGCAATGAATTAAGATTTTTCCCCTTTGAAATCATTTTCATAAAAAAACAGCAGATTAACAATTTGTGTCAGTCAATGTCATTGTTATTGTGTCAGTGGCCACAAATGGGTTCATACAGCTAAAGACCGTCTGTGTCGTCTGTGTTCTTAGACTTGTACCTAGAGCTGTCCACTGGGGATTGGATTACTCGCCATGCTTCTACATCCTGAACGCCAGCGAATTCTCGCAGAGAGATATAACATGGCAACTTTGGTTTGGTTCAGTGTAAAAAAAATAAAAAATCTAAGAAAGCACAACATGGTGTCTCCTTAATGCCAATGTAGTGGGATCTCTTGGATTTGTGACTCCAATGTCTCACAAATGACCTTAATGATTGTTAAGGTGTAAATGACTCCACAAGACGTGTGACTTCCCTCAAGTCAGTCAACACTGAAGACGCCTTTATGGCCCTGTTCAGATGTGGTATTAACGCCTGTCCTGAGAGATCCAATCACAATTGGTCAGCTCTAAGAACGTCACCAAGCAATAGAATGTGTCCTGAATGAGTCTCTTGTGACCAGATGTCACTCCCCCGTTCTATATGCAAATAAACATGTACACTATTTTTGTTCGCAATCACATGAGAATTAAATATGTGTGCTGTCAATATCTTTGTGTTTCTGTATGAGAAGGAAAAATGAAGAGGAGGGAGTGGAGCCAGGAGAGGCTGAGCAAATCAATGCGAGCAGCTTTACAATGAAATAAGATTTTTCCCATTTGGGGGAAAAAAGAAGAAAAATTAAATCAAAACTGTCTGTCAGTGTTGCTATTGTGGCTGTGGCCACAAATAATTCAATGTAAGAGCACTTAGAGGTGTAAAAATACTGTATGTAGTACTTCACAGCTTAAGAATGTGGCTGCATGTGTCCCAAAGTGATCAGATCTCACATGTTCCTAGCACTGACCACTTGTGATTGGCTTACTCAGGAAAGATGATAATTCAATCAGGACAGGTGTGAACGGGGTCTTTACAGTTGTTTTTGGATTCCCTTACAAAAAACTATTTTCATTACAACATTTTTTCCTGCAGTCTATAAAAGTCTAGTTTATCAGTGTCACTTTCTTCGGTAAAATACTATAGGATTTTACAGCTGCTGATCAAGAAGCACGGGGCAGCAGTAAGCCCAATTATGGTAAATGAAATGTTGTGTTCTTCGAACATACAGTGCACTTGCAGAGATGTGTTTCCTGCTTGTGTTGTCTGGGTTTTTTTGCATTACGCAAGAGTCTGTGATAGCTTGAGAATCTAAATACGCTTCATTGCTAAAAGCACCAAGAGTTCATTACACTTGTCTATCAACACAAGAGGGATTACGGAACTAGTATATCTAGGGAAAAAAATTCAAATGTATTATTTTTCTAGTTATAATGTCTGATGTCTGTTATATGCTGTTTCTTAAGAGGCTTATGAATAGTGCTTAAGAAAATAAAACAATTACAGTAGAGTAACAATTCATTTTGAAGTGACAAGCCTTTTTTTTATTTTGGTGAGTGTGACATCTCTTTGTTGGTTTTGATCGCATATTTTGTTTGAAATGTCATAATACCCACGTGATGTTGATTAAATTCAAAACGTTTTATAACTCTAAAATACATTGCTGCGGTTACATTAGAAAAATGATCTGCACAAATCAATACTGAAATATGAAGTATTCTGAAGTTTTCTGAAAATACTTAAAGCTTCCAGACATTCTATTTTTAGTAGAGGCAGCTTTTGAAGGAGTATTTTCAGCAAAGATGTTTCATATTATAGCAGGACACATTATGATTCCGGAGATGTTTTTCCAACCATTTCTCTGCCATCTTTATTGTCTCAGCAAACCACTGACACGGGTGGATAAGGCCACCCTCTAGCAGCTCTGCGTTTAAGATTTACAGTGCTCACCCAGCTGTATTCATGAACCAGAGAGAGGGAGATTTGATGCACTGCTTATGGTTGTGCATATTAAGATTAGGGAAGGATGGAAAAATAATCAAGAAGAAAATCCTACCTACAGTGCTGCTTAAGGAAAATGAAGAGCATTGATGCATAAATAGTAGTATTTTACTAGATGCATAGCATTGTGCAGATATGGGCAAATGCTTGGAAACAAAAGTAAGCCTATTGGATGATGTTAGGTGTATTTGACAAATGCCTAACTTAAACATGCATTCTGTCTTGCAGGCATTTTGCTGGAATTGCCCAGAGTAATATGAATGTGAGGAGAAGTTAAGAAGGCACATGTAAAAAAATAAATAA